CACTTGCTCGACTACAGAACACAACCGACACTCGCTTCCCATGAAGACCACGTGGTCGAATCCCATTTGCCGAATCTACTAGCAACGGCTACCGCCAGCTACAGCACAGTATTTGCAGATTCCGGCATCTTAGGCATCGAAGGAGTGTTCTTTGCCAAAATCTTTACTTTATAATATTTAATTTTATAAAGTTTCCATTCTATTTTAGCATCAATACCGAGCATAGCTTTACAGATAAAGAATAAATCGCAGTATTTTTCATTCTTCTTTTACTTCATTAATTATCACATTAAAAAAAATTCAAAAATTTCAAACACAACATTAAAGTACGAGGATTTGAATCTCCAACCTCATAATAAAAAAAATAATTTTTTTTATATCATTTATTCGAGAATTATATAATTTTTAATATTTGTATTAATAAGCTCACATAAATATATACTAAATGAGTTTGAAAAGTAAATATTAAATGGTCGAATAATAAAGACGGTTACGTAAAATCATGAATTAAAAAGGGAATAAATCTAGAAGCTAAATCGAGATGGAATTTAAATATTTTTTTTCACGACAAAAAGAAGGGAGGTTTGAAGCTGAAGGATTGCAAACGTCTCATTCCAAATATTTAGAATAAATAATAAGAAAAAAAAGACTGTCACGTCTTTATGTTTATGCCACGAAAATAGTAATAGATTCCCTTATTTACACTGTAATATGCTTGGAATCTTTTACCAATTAACCAAAAAATCATTCCTATAAATAAATAAAATAAAATAATTTCTCTTTTCCCCATTAATGTTTTTTTTTTTTTTACTATCCATTAATATTATGAAAAGCTATATAAATTTAAATTTTTTTTATTATATTTTAAAAACATCATAATTTACAAGATCGAAAAAATGTGTTTAAAAATTTTAATTAATATATTATAGTGGCGTTAAATTAAAAAATATATTAAACTCATAAAGTCAATACAAGTAATAAGAGGCAGAAGAACAAAAATAAATAAAGTAAATTTAGTTACCTTTAAGATAAATACCAACGACATTCTTTACCTCTTGATGAAGAAAACCATGGTTATTTCAGTCAAAACACTAATGATTAATTATTTTGGACACAATAAATGAATAAATAAATAAGGGATTATATTATAACGAAAAAAAAAAAGGTTAAAGGAAAATAAAATTCTCATAAAGTATATATTATAATAAATAAGATATTATAAATGGTTACTAATTAAAGTTGGGTTTTAGAAGCTAAAATTATTATTATTATTAAATGAATCTTATAATAAGATTAACATGAAATTTAAGAATAATACTATAGATTAAAAAAATATATTTAGAAACGATCCTATTCCAAATTAAGCAAACTATTTATGGGACCAATAAAAAGTGAATAATAAATCATACATTTAATTATCAAACTTTAATAGATACTTTAATACATATCGGTATATTTATGGAAAAAATTAATTTCATGTACAAAAATATTGCTTACTGTATGAGTTAGGGTTATGACTCATAGTACTTTAAATACATTATTTGAAATTTGAACTTAGGGTCGACAAATAAAAATATCAAGTGTGTTAATTAACCGTTGCAAATTTGGAAGCTCGAATTTCACCTGAAGTAAAAATTTAGTGTCTTGGCGACTAATTTTTTATATTTTTAAATTAATAAAAATTTAATATTTTCTTTATATATATATATAATAAGGGAAAAATATTAAAAAAATAAATAGAAAAATTTTAAAGCATTACCCCACCAATAAAATGACCACCTTTTGTGTCCAATAAAATTGATAGGAGCGCTGCAGTTTTCACTACGTCCACTCGCGCCTTCTACTGTAATTTCATTAATATATATATATTTTAAAAATAAAATATAAATAATGAGTCTTTTTGTCTGTACGATCACGAGCTTGGATTGTAGCGTGTGGACCCTCACGCTTATCAAAATCAACCTCTCTTTCCTTCTCTCTCCTCTTTTCTCTCTCATCTAACCACTTGGGTTTTGGAGTTTGACATTTTCCTAAGTCAACCCCCCACAAAAATCAAGAAATAATTAAATGGGTATTTAAAAATAAACTTTTTTTTCTTAGAGAGAGAAATTATAAAAAAAGAGAGGAAATAATAGCATAGAGATGCCCTCTCCCACGGCTCCACCCCACCTGTCTTTTTCTGTTAAATTACGATATTATCCTTAACATTTAACCGGTTTAAATTAAATTTAGGTTTAAGATTCTACCAAATTTACACTAAGATAGTTTTATATGGTGGAGGTTAATATTGTAAATTTATTTTAAAATATATATTTTTATAATTTAGTGAAAAATTAGAAAGGAAAAAAAAACTTTTTCTCTCTCTAAGAATTGGATTTGTGAAAAAAAAAAAAAAAAACTCACTTTCTCTTTCTATCTCTGTATTTTGGTTTCTATATATAATTCTTTTCCTACTCATTACTCATTACGCCCTTATAACCAAAAGTCAGCGCCTTCTTTTGTCTCTGTTTTTTTTTCTCTCTCTCTCAGAAAAAAAAAAAAAAAAAAAAAACCTGTTTAAGAAGCTGAGACAAAGGTACAGATTCTCAGAGCAGAGTTCTGTCTATGAAAATGGAAGTCGATTGGGATCTTCACGCCGTCGTCAGAGGCTACTCCGCCGTGTCCTCCGCCGCCACCATTCCCTCTTCTGACTTTTACTCTGTTTCTTCCACTTCTAATAACTCTACCCCTTTTGCTTTTGGTAGAGACCTAACCAACCAACCAAACCATTTCTTCTCCCTTCAAGATCCATTCGAAGGGCCTAATTGTAATTCCACTGAAGAATTGCATGAGCTTTTCAAACCCTTTTCCCCTAAACCTCTACCTTCTCCGCCGCCACCGCCACCGTCTGCTCCGCTGCTGCTTTCTTCTCCGGCGGCTAAGATTCTGACCCATCAGAAGCAACGGCAGAACACCCATGTCCCCAAACAGCTCCATTCAGCCCCGGTTTCTGCGTCAAGATCTAAACGCCGGTGAGCATGATTCTTCAATTTCTTGATTCTGGAAATGTTTTTTTGTTAAGCTAATTGATTGATCTTCTGATTTTTTTGACGCTCTGTTTTAGGAAGAATCAGCTGAAGAAAGTCTGTCAAGTTCCGGCGGAGTCTCTGTCTTCGGATATTTGGGCTTGGCGGAAATATGGCCAAAAACCCATTAAAGGATCTCCATATCCAAGGTTCGAGCTCGATTTAAACGCTGAAATTAGGGTTTTTTTTTTTTAAGGTGTTGAAACTAATTTGTGTGATTTTGGAAAAAAAAAAACAGGGGATATTACAGATGTAGCAGTTCCAAGGGTTGCATGGCCCGGAAACAAGTCGAGCGGAACAGATCCGACCCGGGAATGTTCATAGTCACGTACACGGCGGAGCACAACCACCCAGCGCCGACTCACCGGAATTCTCTCGCCGGCTCTACCCGTCAAAAGCCCAACACGCAAACGCCGGCTTCCTCCGGATCCGAAAAACCCGACCCGAAGCAGCCCGTTTGTTCGTCGGAAGACCAAAGTACGATCACAGAGAGCAAAGAAGAGAAAGAGGAATTGTTAGCCGAAGATGAAGAAGACGACGACCTGGGAGTCTCCGATTTGATCGTGAGCGACGATTTCTATATGGGTTTTGAAGAACTCGACAGCCCAACCACCGACGAGTGTTTTTCCGATCAATTTCCGGGGAATTTCGATCTTCCATGGTCGTTCAACGGAGACCCAGACAGCGAAATTGTAAAACTCCCCTGGTAAACTAATTTCCAACCCATTTTTTTTTCTGTTTTGAGATAGAGATCTGTAAAATCAAAGTTAGATCAAAGATTTGAACAAGGTTTTAACGAAGTCATGATGTTCTCTGTATCCATTTTTCTTTTCCCTGTAATTTTAGAACAAAAATTGTAGAAGAACAGTGATTTTGAAGTGCGAGATGGAGTGGGTTTTGTGGGAATTTTGGAGTTTGTTGACTAATGAAAAGAAATGGAGTGGAATGAAGGCATGGATGACGTGGTAATGCGTTGACAGAGATGGAAATTAGAGAGGTTTTTGTGAAGAAAAAATGGGTATGGGGATGAAGAATATGCTTCCTTTCCAAAATGCTTGTCCGAGGACAGCAATGGTGGAGAATCAGATTTTATTTAATTTATTTTATTTTATTTTTATTTTAAAAAAGATAATTCGGAATTTTTTCACTTAGTTGATGCCAGTGGGTAAAGATAAAATGGTAGCCATTCAACCTCAAGATTGTATAATTGCGTCCAAAACTTGATTTTCTTTTGTTTTATTTATTTATTTTTTTTTTTTATTAAGAGATTCTGTTTCTTCGTACGGCTCAACCTTTGTGTTTTGTTTTTGGTTCCATTTCACAACGCTTGTTTGTTCGTTCGTTTGGATGTTCTTGGGAATGCTTTTCAAACAAGCTTTATTTATTATTATTATTATTTTTTATCAAAAGTGCTAATATTTCTATATTATGTCGGTACGAGAGATGAATGGAAAACGATCGACTAAAGTATGTTAGTATTAAGGGTGTTCATGTAATCCAATGACTCGAACAACCCATACCATCCAACTCAAAAAACTGAAGAACATTGGATTTTGAAGGACATTGAGTTTATTCTTGAAGTGTGAGATTTGTTTTTTTTTTTCGATTTGAGTTAGAGTTTATTTTTTGAGAAATTTGAAAATTTTGATACTTTCAATTTTATTCGTGAAAATTTTCACTCTTATAAGTAATGTTTTGTTTTCGTCTATAATTGATGTACGATTTCACTTAACGATGAACACGAGTGATGAAGAAAAGTACAGAGATAAGTTCGTAACTCGGAAGGTTAAAATGGTCATTTTTATAAAAATTATAATTTATATGGAGAGAAAATGAAGAATTGGGATTTGGGTATTAAAAGAAAGTATAGATTGGGAAAGATAAAAAGATATATTTGTTGAAGCCAAAAGTGGTGAATAAAGAAGTAACCATCATTTTCGTCTGGTGGCTTTTGGGAAAAGCACAAACCCTTCACAAACTGTTCCATCAATCCATATTCCATTTCCAATCTTCAGCATCTCTGTTTTGAACGGCTGAGAATTTCAATAAATTTTAAGCCCCGGAAAATTTCCAACTTCTGCTAAATCCTTCTCTAATGTTCATTGTGTTCATGGAATGGACATCACAAACTCGATGCAACAAAACCAGGAGAATAATGGGTTCTTTGAAGATCAGTGATTACGCTTTGAAATGGCAGTCACTCGCTGCTCCGCCGTGCCGCTCCTCCCTCTTCGACTTGGCTCCCTGCTTTCCCGACTTCCCTCAAATTCTCGTTAGGTAAGCTTTCTTGTAGAATCCCATTATTCTTTCTGAGGCATTTCGTCGAGCACCTTATGGAAGTTGAAATTCTCGGTCTATTTTAGCTTCTGTTTTTCATTTATGGTTTTGTTTCTTTGAACAGCTTTGTAGTTGGGTATTAACCTGGTTAGTTTGGTAGGATGTTGCATTCTTCAAATGAATTTATATGTTTCTGAAGGAAATTTGATGGTGAACTGAAATTTAATTCAGAATGCATTACATTACAAGCTTTGGTAGTCTAAATCTATTCAACACTCTGACCCACAGAGGTTGGAGCTTCTTAAAATTTTGGATTAGAAGAGGTTATATTCTGTCTTTTGAAGCACAAGTTGTGTCTGCGTGATTGAATTTGGAGAAAGTTTCATCTCTGACTGAACTCATCACTAGCCTGATATTGTTAGGCCCCTGTCGTAGAATAGTTGATATGAACTTAATATAAAATTTAAGGAAGATTCTTGGATGGTTACAAATTTAAGGTTACATTTATCTAGGGCTAATTATAGTCTTAAGATATGAAAGTTACAACTCTTGAAATGTCTCATGAAAGGTCAAGAGTTTTCATTTTGATACTATATAAAGCCATGTTTGTTATATTTGTAAAGAGACTTGGAAAATGTAGTAAAAAGAGCATTTGTGCTTCCTTTATAGCCCATGACTAAGTTTCTTTGCATTTTTATATAGTTTAGGTTGCATGTTTAGAAACATTCAAGCTTGACATGATTGATCCAAGTGATTCCTTATCATTAGGGCTAAGTTTCTTTGCAAATCTATATAGTTTAGGTTGCATGTATAGAATCATTAAAGTTTGACATCATCGATCTTACTTGTAGAGTAATTTGAATCTTAAACAAGTGATCTTGTTTTGAGATATTTGATCAATAAAGTAATCCGAATCTTACTTCTCTTGTAGTGATTCCGTATCAACAATGTTCTTGTGGAGAGCTCTCGAATTGGCCGGATGTTTGAATGAACTCCGTATTTCTGGTTTATTACACATATCAATCGAATGGTGAGACAGGATCCTTGTTCTTATGATTTTTGCCTGAAGCTTATTTAGTTTTATAGTTCAGTCAATTCTATCTACCCAACGGCTACAAAGACGGAGTGCTTTAAGTTTGCTGGTAATCCTGCACTATGCATCCAGGTATCTGATCATAGTCTTTTTGTCAGTAGTTTTGAATTTTATGGAAGTGGATTGATATCTCTTGATCTAGCTTGAATACACATCTCTTGAACTAGCTTCATACATCCATTAAATATCTTAGTTTTATGTAGATGCAGCTTATGAAACTTCAAATTTAGAGATCTATTATATACTCTTCCTTCTCGGAACTCAGATCCAACATTTTGTTGGCAACCACCCCAAATCCACCAATATTGTCATTTTTTGGCTTTTCCTTCAAGGGCTTCCCCTCAAGATTTTAAAACACGTGTACTAGGGAGAGGTTTCCACACCTTTATAAGGAATGGTTCATTCCCCTCTCTAACTGATGTGGGATCTCACAATCTACCTCCTTGGGGGTCCAACGTCCTCGTTAGCACACCGTCCGGTATTTGGCTCTAATACTTTATGTAACAGCCCATGCCCACCGCTAGTCAATATTGTCCTCTTTAGGCTTTTCTTTCAAGGGCTCCCTCTCAAGGTTTTAAAACGCATCTACTAGGAAAAAGTTTCTACATTCTTATAAGGAATGTCTCGTTCCCTTCTCCAAACGATGTGGGATCTTACAAAAACGGTTGGAAACGTGAGGGCTTAAAGGTTCATTGTTTTCATGAGGCATATTATGATCGGTTTGGAATAACTTCTAAAAACACTTTAAAGTCATTCTAAAGAGACTCTTAATTTCTTAATTTTAAACGCTTTACACCGAACTCTATTGGATTTTCTTAATGAATCATTTGGTGAGAGTCTCGTAGATTACTTCTGCTTCAAACTTGAGCCTTATCTTCGGAAGTATCATTTTCTGATGCATCTGAGCCCTTTACAGACTTGAAAGAAAAGCGCACAAGAAGCGTAGCAATGGCCATAATTGTCATAGTTCTAAGAAAGTATGATTTGTTTCAAACAAGGTCTGCGTTTTGTCAGGACTTTAATGTTTGATATTTTCTCAAGCTTTCCCCAAATTGGTATAGTTGGAAAGGTAGTTGGATTAGACACAGAAGTTCGTTAAACCCAACCAAACCCAACCGGTACGGTTTGGATATATACATATATATGTATATATTAAATATGAGATGAAAATTTTACTTCCATGTTTGAAAAAAAAAAAAAAAAAAAACCCTTTCAAATTTAAAGGTGAAAAAGACCAGGAAAATTTTAAATTTAAATATGCATTAAAACTCACCTACAGTTAATTAAAAAATACAAAATAGCGGCTCCGAGATTAGTTCAAATAGTTTACTCAAAATACATCAAAACAACATTTTAAGATAATAAAATGGCAAAGGAGGAAGACGACTCGATCTAAGGGCTCCCAGCAGTTGCACGGCTTCACACACTCCCACCCTCAACTGTGATCTGCACCCCATCTAAAAACAAATGAATAACATGGGATGAGTATAAAATATTCAGTAAAGAACCTATTTATAGGCTCTCGTTGGACTTAGTGTTCATATACTGATTTTAGCCTTAGTCCTTACTATGACTTACATACATGCTAGCTTATAATAAGGCTTATCCATACCTTGACCCTTTGTGCTCACACACTAGGGTGCATGACTAAATCCCTCGGGGTCATAATGTAGGATTAGGTAGTAGCTTATTGTTTATGTTTTTCAAAGTCTATCCTTACCTTTGTGCTACCAGCACGCGAGTCAACTTGTTCTATGACGGGCTTGCAGGTAAGTCTTGTGTGTATGAGGTCGTAAGTCTTGTGTGTATGAGGTAACATGTGCACTATACACAAACTACCACTATGGTCACTTGCACCCATACTAACTGTCTACCAGGTGCACCCTGGTAGTATACGATCTATGACTCACGTCTCCTCGGTAAGTGAGAATAACCATTATTTACCAAATAGACCTCAGCCATACCAAGAAAGTTCTCTTACTTACCTTCTTTAAACAATCCAACTCAGCTTCCTTAAACAATCCAAACCTTCTTTTCTTGGGTTAGCCAGCTAACCCCCTTCATTTATTTGTCAACTGACAGAGTTATTACAGGACCTATAGCCTGTAATATAAAAAAAAAAGTTTGAAAAACTATATTATTATATTGAAATTTAAATTTTAGGGTTAAGACGAGAATTATACTTTCCCTCCCTAACCCTCCTATATATATATAAAAAAAAAAGTTTGAAAAACTATATTATTATATTGAAATTTAAATTTTTAGAAATTATGTTAGATACTATTTTTTATGAAATAATAATAGAATTATTAGGATGTTTTACAATTTTTTTAATTAAAAAGTTCTTTGAAACGGATGTTTTCTAAAATAGATATATTAAAAAATCGAGAAAAATTTCTCGCATAGAACTCGATCCTTGTGAAAATGAATGGAGAATTTTGTAGGAATGAAAATTGAAATAGGAGGTGGGGACGAGGTTGAGGAAGAATTTTCTATCCTCGTCTTGTCTCATGGACATCTCTAATTATAACACGTAATCTGGTGGAGACTGATTTTTGTTATATATAGCAGATTTGTTCTATTTGTTGATTGATTTTTCGAAGTAATGGTGTTATAGTTCATTTTTTATCTTTCCATCACTATTTTAAAAAGTGTTAAACGAAAAATATATTTTTAAATGTTTGAAAAGTGATTCCAAACAAATATGTTTGTGGAAGCAAAAAAAAAAAAAAAACTAGATGTTTTATGAACATGACGTGGAATCTATTGTATACACTATTTGTGGCCATAGAAAAAGTCATAAATATGGGTGTTGTTTTTGTATAAAGAATAAAAATGTTACGTGTAGTTCTCTTTGTAAAAGGTTTGTCACTTTTAAAGGCCACCTCTTGGGTAAAATTATCTCTCATTATTTGTTAAATAATTTTATTCATTATTTCTATCCATTTCAACGCCAATTCTTCTATTATGTTTTCATAGAAATGATTATTAAGTTAAAAAAGAAATTAGGATGGGGATCCACAGAGAATGGAGAGAGATTTCTCTTAAATGGAGACATAGATTACCTCCTTGACTTCGATCCCTATAATTCCCGTCCTGTCCCCACCACCATACATACATGGGTTGTAAGTAATAATCGGGACTTTCTAACGGGTCCTGGGTTGTGCTTATGGTATTTGATAAATGAACAAAATTTTCTAACATTGATCATCTTTTTTACATTTCATTCAAATTTTGAACATTTTTGTTGATGATTTATATCTCAATTAGCTAAGCTACGTTCATATTAGCCGAACATCAATTGATATAAATCATTGAAACTGGTTTAGAATGCAAAAGGGCACTCCGAATATATGTAGACATCTTAATCAGAATACAAATAATCATATTGCATTGAGAGGCTGAATACTGCTGAAGCTACTGATTCAATGACTCCTCAAATATTCAATGATGTTATGACCAAATCCTTCAAGTGTTGAAACTTCTCTGGTTGTTTCTTTTTGTACAGTTAAACCAATTATGATTTTAGTACATTTTATCCTTAGCTAATACAGAATCTGCAATGCAGTGGGGAAAGAGGAGCAACCAATGCCATACCTTTTATACTTACAAGGAGGACCCGGGTTCGAGTGCCCCCGACCAACCGAAGCCAGTGGATGGATACAAAAAGCATGTGAAGAATTTCGTGTTATATTGATGGATGAGGCATGCCTTTTGTTGACTTGACTGACTTGACTACCTTTGAGCAAAGGCATTTGAAAATATAAACGAGTGTTGCCTTGATCTTTTATTCCACCTTGCAGCGAGGAACAGGATTATCAACTCCCTTGACTCCATCGTCCATGTCACAATTTCAAACCGCAGAGGATTTAGCCAATTATTTGAAACATTTTCGAGCTGATAACATAGTTAATGATGCTGAATTTATTAGGATTCGTCTTGTTCCTGATGCTGCTCCTTGGACCATTTTGGGTCAGGTATTTAATGTTGTTGAGCTTTGAGACTTCTGAATATGGCTCCAAATTCAAGCAAATTCTCCTTTTCCCTTCGCAGAGCTATGGGGGTTTTTGTGCACTTACGTATTTGAGCTTTGCACCACAAGGACTGAAACAAGTCCTTATAAGTGGTGGAATCCCTCCAATTGGGAATGGATGCATGGCAGATTCTGTATATAGAGCAGGCCTTGAACAGGTTCTAATCCAAAATGAAAAGTACTACAAGAGATACCCTCAGGATGTTGAATCAGTCCAGGAAGTTGTGAAATACTTGGAAGAGAATGGCGGCGGGGTGAGTTCATCTGAATGCTTAAAAATTCTCTCAGCTCCCTGAAAAAAACCCCATTTTCCTTCTGGTTTTGTCTAGGTTCCTCTTCCCTCTGGTGGTATCTTGACACCCAGAGGACTGCAAACTCTTGGTCTTTCTGCTTTGGGGTTCAGCACTGGTTTTGAGCGCTTGCACTATCTGTAATACCTCTATCTTTTTCTCTCTGGTCTCTAACTTTTGGACAAGTGAATGGCTGAATGGCCTCTATTGTGGCAGGTTTGAGAGAGTATGGGATCCTATAATAGTGCCTGGAGCACCGAAACGAATCAGTTTTTTCTTCCTCAACGAGGTTAGTATTCCTTCCACAGTTTCTATTAGCTTTATTCTTGATTGATTGTATGCAATTAGGACACATGCAGATTGATAACTGGATACCATTCGGTTCGAATCCTCTTTATGCTCTCTTGAATGAATCTGTTTACTGCCAGGTAGCCTCCTTTTTTTGGTTTTACAATTAGATTTTGGCCTATTGGAACTCTGTGTTGAGATGAGTTTTTGCCACTTCCTGTTCCCCAAAGGGCGCCTCATCTCGTTGGTCTGCTGAAAGAATAAGGAATGAAGTGGGTAGCAAATTTGATGCAAATAAGGCTGTAAAGGATGGATTTCCTGTGTATTTCACTGGAGAGGTTAGTTCAAACTGTGCTCGTCTTTTATTTTCATCAAATAAATAGTCGTCTAGTTTAGCTCGTCTTTGGAACTTCTGCTCGTGAAGTATTTGACTTAAAAACTCCCTACCCGAAAAGTTATATGTTATTTAAGCCGTTGTGTTGCAGGCTTGAGCATACGCTGCCTGACCGTAGGAGATGCGATTCTAAGTTGGCTTGACTCACTCAGTGCTGAGAGTGAGTGCCACACAATCGCTAAATCTGCTGCCAAGAAAAGGGCGATTGTGACGGTATCCGAGTCAGATATCGGGCGATGTACCAGTAAGGACACTGGGCCCCCAATGGGGGTGGATTGTGAAATCTCACGTCGGTTGGAGAGGGGAACAAAACATTTCTTATAGGAGTGTGGAAACCTCTCCCTAGTAGACGTGTTTTAAACTATGAGGCTAACAGTGACATGTTACGGGCTAAAGCAGACAATATCTCCGTTTGTAATGCTTTTGTAGATGATCTTCCCGTGGATGTTTGACGAGATTCATGCCTTGAAACCGTTCAAAGACGTGGCTAATATATTGGCTAATAAGGAGGATTGGCCTCCTCTATATGACATTGCTGCTCTTAAAAATAACAAGGTATTCTGTCTATTTTACCGTAACAACTTGTCACGAATCACGACGAGCGTTCGGGTTACCTCGAGGCGTCTCTGTTGACAAAAAAGTAACATATTTTCTGGATTCCGACAACAGGTTCCGGTCGCAGCTGCGGTATATTACGAAGATATGTTTGTCAACTTGAAGCTGGCCATGGAGACAGCTTCCCAAATAGCAGGAACAAGGCTGTGGATTACTAATGAATTAATGCATTCTGGTCTGCGTGATGCGGGGCCCCAAGTTGTGGATCAGTTGATGGGATTGTTAGATGGAAAGAAGCCTTTATTCTAAGGCTTTCTTTCATCTTTCTTTGTGTTTGGTTGAGTTCTTGTTTAATATTAATTTTAAACAGAATAAAAATATTAATGTTGTTGTTAATTGTTATTATCAATAATTGAGCTAAACGTTTATATTTATTTTTTTTTAAGCCTTTAAAAAAACATTTTCTTAAATAAAATATTTGGAATTAACTGTTCGTGAAAGAATTAAATATTTTAAAATTAAAAAATCACAATGTTCCTATGGGCCGGCCCAATATGCAATGGACTTGAAAAGGGCCCATAAAATGAATGCGAACTAATCAAGGCTTCTTTCCATTAATTAAATTTAAAATTTTAAAAATTACTTTAAATTTTTTAAAAAATTAATTAATACCTTTTTACTTTATTTATTTATTTATTTATATAAATTTAACACTATTTTTATTATTGTCTTGACTTTCAATGAATGTGAATAGGATGAACTTTGCTTTAAATGCTTTCCCACCATAGTTTTTATTATTACAACTCTGCATCTTTAATTCGTATATTTTAATATAGCTTTGATTTAGATTTAGATTCAGATGGCTAAATAATAATTTAGCTTTATTCTTATTATGAAAATTGGAAAAGAAAAAGGCATATATAAGCCAAACCCTACGTTTTCTTTCTTTTTTTTCTTTTTAATTAATTATTTTTTAAATATTTTGTGATTTGGTCGGCAATAAATCAATTGATTTAATTTTACGAAGTCCAAAATTCACTCAAAGATTAAAAAAAAATTAATAATAAAAACAAATATATATGCTATGTGTTATTTTCATAATATTTTGGATTAAAAAAAAATTGACCAAATAATTTAATTATTTTAAATTTGTGTCACTTTAAAGGGTAAATCACGCGGTGCGGCCCAATCACACAACTTTAAACGCGGAAGCTACACGTGCGACGTGCACGAGACGTGTTGTCGATTCAAATTTCACACTATATAAAGAGCGGGTTCTCCCGTCTACATCCATATTCCATATTTCCATTTTTAATTTCCTAGATTTTCTTCGCTTTGAGTCTCTTCATCTTCTTGCGATTCTCTGCAAACTCTTTGGCGTAAATGGCGGATTTGATTGACAAGGCGAAGAACTTCTTCGCTGATAAGGTGGCCGACATTCCGAAGCCGGAGGCCTCGGTCACCGACGTCGATTTCAAGCGTTTAAGCTGCGATTCCGTCGAGTATTTGGCAAATGTTTCTGTCTCCAATCCTTACAGCAGCGCCATTCCTATCTGTGAGATTTCTTACACTCTCAAAAGTGACGGAAGGTTCGTTCCTCTTCGCTTGCCTATTAAGTTTGCCTTCCTGTTTTGATTTATAAGTTAGGTCAAATTTTGGACGAATATTTTGAATCGATTGATTAGCCGATCTCGATTTATTCGACTGGCAATAAATAATTTAATGTTCATCTTCTGGAGGAATGAAATGAATGTTATTGAGATTGTATGATGGATCTATTGATCGATTGACGAATGTGCAGAGTGATTGCTACGGGGACGGTGCCAGATCCAGGATCTCTGAAAGCGAGTGACTCGACTATGCTGGAAGTGGCGGTGAAAGTACCGCATACCGTACTGATAAGCTTAGCGAGGGACATAGGCCGAGATTGGGACATTGATTACGAGTTGCAGATCGGACTCACAATAGACCTTCCGGTCATCGGAAGCTTCACCATTCCTCTCTCCACTAAAGGCGAGATGAAGCTCCCTACCTTCTCTGACATGTTCGCTTAGCTATACTTCTTCGGTTTATTTTCTCCTTATATATCAAAACTCTGGTTCAAAGTTCTAAATCACACCTAAAGTGATCGATAATAAGCTTGTTGTAATTTGTGTTTAAATCATGCATCTCTTATACGCAGCATAAAGACAATTTGAGTCCAGTTTCTATCTTTCTTTTTTCTTTTTCTTTTTCTTTTTATGTATGTATAATTAGCTCTCTCTAGATTTGTTTCCCCTCTCGTTGGAAAGAATTACATTAAAACTCACTCATTATGTATAAAAATAAAATTGAAATTGAAATCAGATTTATTAGATATGCTTAACAAATTAAATAAGAGTGAGGATTGCCGGATCGTATATTTCTTAAAACTAAAATTCAAAAAACGTAGTTTCACACGTCAACATCATTTATATTTCCTTACAACCGTACAATAATAGTCTGTTTGAGAATTATTTTTTACAATTAAAAAAAAAAATGCATGAACCTTCCATTTTTGCTTTTCTGTTTGGAAATAACAACAATAAAGTAGAAAAAAAAACAAAAACGGTTGGATTTTAGTTTTAAAAATGGAATACAGTAAAACATAAAAACCAAAATAAAAAATTTATTGAACGGTTAAAAGATGGAGCAATTTGATTTCCGAATTAAGGGTTGATTAATAAAGAACTTTACAACTTTTTAAAACGAATTGTATTTGAACTAATTAATTAATTTTGAAAAAAAAGAACCACCGTTTAAAGGATGCGTCCAAGAACAAAAGCTTACTCCAAATTCTTTTATTCTTCTATTATTTGCATATATGTACCATTTAGAGAGAGATTTTCACACATTTTTTAAAATGTTTTATCCCCTCGTCGAGCTCTAATTCAAGTAGGATCTCTCAATTTATTCTGTTAAGAGCTAGTGTAAATCTCACAAAAAAAATAAAAAATAAAATAATAATAATAATAATAATAATAATGGAGTAAGAATTATTTGATTTCCAATTTTTATTTTAGTTGGCGTCTCACTTGTTCAAATCTCAATTTTAATTAGTTAGACCTATTTTATATAATTTAGCAAAGATTTAATTCTATTTAATATAATTTAGTAAAGATTTAATACGAAATTATTTATAAAATAAGAGAAGCAAATTGGTTGGAGTGAGGAGTGAGGAGTGAGGAGTGAGTTAGAAAAGACGAAGTGTATTAAATGCTGTGTGGTATCCCCACCCACTTCCCCCCCCCAAAAAAAAAATTATCTGCCCTAATTCCTTCTTCTTCCCCACTAATGGCTTCAACTGCAACTCCAACTCCATTTTCAATTCCTCCTCAATGTCCATCTCCCCTTCTTCCTCCTCCTCCTATTACTCCTTCTCTAAGATCGGCCTCGGCTACGCCATTGCCATAGCCCTCGCCTTCCTCGTCCTCCTTTCCGCTCTTCTTCTCGCCTTCTACGTCTGCTGTCGCGCCTCCCGCTCCCGCTCCCGCTATCTCCACCGCCACCCCGCTCCCTCTCGTTCCGATGCCGGAATCATTCTCCCTCAGATCATCTTCGTCGCCGAGGACGACGCCTCTCCAGATCCCAACGATGATAACGGCGTCCTTGGCCTCGACCAGGCTGTCATTAACTCTTACCCTAAATTCCCCTTCTCCAGGGATAAATCCATGGCCGGAGCCGATTGCGTCTGCTCCATCTGCCTCTGTGAGTATAAGGACGCGGAGATGCTGAGGATGATGCCCGAGTGTCGACACTGCTTCCATCTCTGTTGCATCGATGCTTGGTTGAAGCTTAATTGCTCTTGTCCGGTTTGCCGGAATTCGCCACTCCCGACGCCGCTTTCCACTCCTCTTCAGGAGGTTGTGCCGCTCTCCCAATACATGGCGGATCGGAGAAGGAGATGATTCGTTAATTGCACTGATCGTCAACGAGGCTTCAATAGGTTCTTATTTTTCGCTCTCCTCATATTCTCTGTTTGTTTTGCCTGTTTTCACTTTTAGGAAACTGTAAATTCTTTAGTTAGGTGTTGAGTTTTTTTCGTCTCGAGTGTTATGGGAACTGTTCGACCTATACATGAAATTTTCAACTTACTTTTTGAGCAATTCGCTGAGTACTCATGAATCAATATTCTTATGTAGATCTGATAGTGCTGGATTCGATTATTTGAAAACCAAACAAAAAATTGAGACAAGAAGAACTTTTCCATTTCTCTTCCACTCTTTTTGCTCCAAAGAGTTGGCTTGACCCATCTCAAGGGTCCTCCTTATTTCCACTGTAGTCCTCTGAAGCTGGCCTAGAATGTCTAGTTGCTCCATTTCCCTTCCAAATCTTCAATCCCATCATCATTTGCTAATGGGTCGGTAAGCGTGCAAATGATTCCTATTGTCTTCCCTTTCTTTTTACTAAAGCTGCTGACACTGAGAACTGTTGATGGGTTTTCATTGTTTCGTGCATAGTTTTCTTACTTTGTTTTGAAGCAAATTCATACACCAAATCTAAGTTGGTGACAGTAGTTTGATCCATGACCCAAAAACCTCTGTTATTTAGTTCTAAATCCCGTTGGAGACTGTGATTCCTCTGTTGCTTGTGCTCTCCGTTTTCAACTTGAAATGGAAGAACTTGAAAGTGTATGTTGTAGATATGAAGAAGTTGGAATCATTGGGTCATTTTGGGTTGAAATTGTATGATTCCAAGAGCTTTTATGGGACTGAAACACTGAGATTGAGTTTCACTTTAGAATTTTCTTTTGTTCTGTTTACCCCTTTAACGGTGAGGGATGACCGATGAGATCATGATTTCGATAGGCATCTTGGTCTCCTTTCCCGAGTTCAATTATGAATCCATTGATTTCACTGCTTTTTCTCTGCAAAATTCAGACAGGAATGTTGTTGCCTTTTTATTACCAACTGACATGAATACAGCTTAATGTGGGTCATATGGCCCAAAGATTCAAGCCCAATTACATTTCGGCCCTTTAAACACTAAAGGCCCAACGACAGTCATCAAATGATCTATGACAAGCCCAATTACGTTTCGGCCTATTTAAACACTAAAGGCCCAACGATAGTCATCAAGTGATCAATGATAAGTTTGGTCATATGGCCCAAAGATTCAAGCCCAATTACATTTCGGCCTTCTAAATATCTTTACATTAAAGGCCCAACCCCAGGCCTTAAATGATCTTTACTTCGAAGGCCCAGCCCAATCTACACATTTTCCCACCCAAATTCAAATTTTATTTCATTTAACCTAAGATAATAAATTTATAAAATATAAAAAGTAGAAAAAAGTATTTATAATTAAAAATGAGTTTAGTTAATAAAATTTATGACAGAATTTAAAGTTTATAAGAGTTTATGAACATTTAAGGAATAAACTCGTAACCTGTGGGTAGTTTTTTTTTCTTCTTCTTTTTACTTAATAAAGTAACTTTCAAAATTTATTAAATTAATAATAAAACACAAAAGTAAAAACCAATATTTACTTTGCCTTTTTTATTTTTATAATGCTTTTGAAAAGACGTTTAACATATATAACAACGATTCAGCTCCCGGTATCACAGAAAACGTGGAACCCACGACCGACCCTTCGTCCTGTCCAAGCCGCCCTAGCTGTCGTTCGTTTAATCGAGTGCCACGTGTCCTCATATTATTCCACCGTGTCTCTCACTTTCATAAACATCCCCCCTATTAAACCGTTAGCTTTTTCAACGCCGTCAACTAACTCCTTACCTTTTTCCGTCAATTTGCTTTTGCGTTGGCAGCCCCATTAATAAATACCCAAGTGTCACTGTTTCTTCCATTGTCATTTCCTTTCAAATTCCTTCTTCTTCTGTCTTCTAAAACCCTAGTCGCTCTCGATCGAGTAGCTTGATTTTCTCTTTGAGATTTCGGTCACTGGAATCAATCAACCATGTCGGACCATTCTGAAAACGCTGAACCTAAATCGGAGTCTTTGATCGACAAGATTGTCGAGAAGATTCACGATCACGATTCATCTTCATCGTCAGGATCAGACTCCGAAACCGAGGGATCGGCTTCGTCCTCATCCTTGAAGGAGAAGGTCTTCCGGCTTTTCGGAAGGGAGAGGCCAGTTCATCATGTCTTCGGTGGTGGCAAACGTACTTAATCTTATCTATCTGATTCCAAGTTATTGATGAATCATTTCGTTTTTCGTTGGCATTTCCTTCTTTTTGAACTTTTTTTTAAGGTTCTTTTCCTGAGTTTATAACTGGAGCTCGTTTTTGGTTGATGCTATTTAGGTAGGCTTCTTTACGCTTTTTAGTCATTTTTCTTATTCTTTTGCTTGGATATAGAATATATGAGCGGCAAGAAGTTATAGATCTGGTTGCTTTTCCTTTCTGAACAACGCTCGTAGTCCAGATCGAGCGTACGACATACTTGAGCGATTCATTGAGCTTACAGAACATAGTCTTCTTTTTTTTTATATATAGTTTTATTTACTGAACTTGCTATATTTGTACCACGTCCGGGTTTGATATCTGTATTTAACTTTTTTCCTGCGTCGCTTATTTCTGGATTGCACATTTGAATTTGTTCTGATGCGACCCGCGCCTTTCTTATGTCATGCGGTGACTTTTTAATGTTAATTACAAGTTTAGTTGTTTTGTCTATTCGACTTGTCTTTTAGAACTATAAATTTAGTTTCCGTATCTACTAAATGTAGAGTTGAAAGTTTGGATTTTATTAAACATATAATTTATATTTATATTTAATAGAACAATTCATCATTAAAATTTATTTGGTAAAGATCTATTACACATAAAATTGAATGGATATCGAGATATTAAAATTTACATTTAAATTTGATAAAGCATCTAGTTTTACTTTAAACTTCTATATATTATAATTTATTTTGATACCTTTTGAATTTGAATTGAAATGTTGACCGTTTCTTAACCGTGTGGCATAAGCAGCTGCTGATTTATTCTTGTGGAGGAATAAGAAGATCTCAGCCGGTGTTCTTAGTGGAGCCACTGCCATCTGGGTTTTCTTTGAATTGCTCGAGTGCCATCTGCTTACTTTTGTTTCACGCTCTCTGATCCTCGCTCTTGGGCTCTTGTTCCTTTGGTCTAATGCCCACACATTTATCTACAAGTGAGTTATTAGATGTGAATTTCATTTTATCAATAATTAAGTGTCTGGCGGCGTGAAATCAGGCTCTTCTCCGCTGTTTAACAAGTGTATTTACAGGAGTGCACCCCGAATCCCAGTTGTTCAACTTCCTGCGGACCCCTTTCTGGAGTTCGCTTCAACTTTGAGAGCGGAAATTAATTGTGGTATTGCATTATTACGGGACATTGCAACTGGAAGAGATTTGAAGAAATTCATCACGGTATGTACATGTTATTAATGTACTTTTTGTGTGTTCTGTTATTTGTATTTACCGTGTTGGGTTCGTCTCAAGTAACTGGGTCTGAACAAGTTACAGCTCTATATACCGTCTTAGACATCTTTAATTTTAGAATAATTGAGATTTATCTAAAATGTACAAATAATATTTCTCTGTCTCAGGCAATTGCTGCCCTGTGGGTTCTGTCGATTGTGGGAAGCTGGTGCAATTTCTTGACGTTGTTCTACATAAGTAACGACAACTCAAACTCTAACTTCATACTTATAGCAATCTTTTCATTTGAATCTGACATTTGACAACATTTTTGAAAACACAGACTTTGTTTTGTTGCACACGGTCCCAGTTGTGTATGAGAAGTATGAAGATAAGATCGACCCATTAGCGGAAAAGGCATTAAGAGAGTTCAAGAAGCACTACGCTGTGTTTGAAGAGAAGGTTCTGAGCAAGATTCCAAAAGGGCCATTGAAAGGCAAGAAGGCTTAAACTGGCTTCGGTGTCTTCTTCAATCACACAAAGCGGTAACCACATGTTTATTGATCTCTCTCGTTGTCTTTAGTTTTAGTTGTTCTTTAATCATTGGGGTGGTTTCGCAATTTAGTGGGCGTGTTCTTCAGGTGTTGAATTTGTAAGTTATCAATTGTATGAAACTTTTTTGAAGAGAGTACTTTGGTTTGTGTTATTAGCTAATACACATTTTGTTCCCTTTGTTCCAATATGAGCCGTTTAAGAACTTAATTGTAAGTTCTTACAAGTTTAGGGGAGTTTATTATATACCACATCGATCTGGTTTCGTCGTATCTTCTCCTCTTTCTTTATTTTTGGAATCGAAGGGTCCTATGGATGGGGCGCTTTTGTAAATCAATCAATGCGCCTTTGTTCCAAGTGTTTGCCTTCGTAAATGGCTCTGAATAAATTGTTTAGGTTGTGGAGTTTTTATATTTTCATACAGAAATTTTTCTACTGGTTTGAGTTGAGCGATTGAGACTTCTCTAAGTTTGAATTAAATCCTTCGCACATTTAGCTGCGGATTAGTAGGACGCCCAAATTTTCACTAATTTTGGATCGTCCGGAACCCTCGGCGACGTTCTTTCTTATATATATATATGTGTGCGTGTGTGTGTACTTTTTTTCAATTTTTCTTTTTTGTAAAGTCTGCATTTGAAAATTTTCTTCTTTTAGCGAATAATTCACTGGGGGTAGAAAATTTGGAAAATTCTGTTGACCTTGTACAATGTCTGGAAAATATTGGGAAATCTGGTTGTGGTTAATTTGTAATTATTGATTGTAAAATTGAAAATATTTTGAAAAACCTATAAGAATATTGATGAAATCAAAATGGAATAAAATTCCACCTTCATCGTTGACAGCTCCCATTACCAAGTGGAAGAAAACAATTGGATGGATGGGTACATATGGTAACCAATGGAATTGAACCAAACAAACTTGATATCATGAAAAAATTGGGCTTTCATTTTTCCTTTTTACTTATAACCAAGACTACAACCAACACATTGTGGCTAAAGCATCCTGAAAAGTTTGGCATTTCCACCTATACACAATGTCCTTAGGATATAGCTTTAGTCCCGAATTCCTAGTAATTAGTTGGCATATTGCGCGTTAACAAATTAATAAGTAATGGGTTTTTAAGGGGGCTAGATTAGGGTCAAGCGTTTCTTTGACCTAATAACTAATCTCGTCTCCCCGCCCATCTCTATTAGCAGACATTTTCTTTTGCAATATTAAAAGGGTCTCTCATGGCCAATTTCTTATTATAGCATTCTCGACCATAGAATTTGGTTTGAGGGGTCAACTTGATGGGTTCTATGAGGAAGTCGGCAAGGACCGGTGGTAAACCAAAAGGCGTTTTCTGGTCCCCCGGGCGGGTGGTGCTTGTGTGTGGGGTGTGCCACAACCAAACAAAGGAATGAAATGCCCCTTTGCGTTCGAAGTAATTGCTGGAAGTTAACCAAGTGGCTGTAGTTTTTTAGGGGTGAGAATTCCACATTGTGACCTACAAGATAATATTTAAAAAATACTAACAAATAATAACAAAGTGGCTGTAGTTTAGTGGTCAGAATTCCACGTTGTGGCCGTGGAGACCTGGGCTCGAATCCCAGCAGCCACAAAATATTTTTATAACCTTTTTAGTATTTTTTTTTAACCTTAAATTTTTGTTACAAAATAATATTTAGCTATTAAACAAAAAGAAAGTGGCTGCAGTTTAGTGGTGAGAATAGTTGTGGCCGCGAATACCTGGGCTCGAATCTTAGAAGCCACAAATCTTCAAGTAATAAAAAGAAGTGTCCGTAGTTTAATGTTGAGAATTTTATGTTGCGGAAGTGGAGACCCATGATCAAATCCTTGCAGCCACAAAATTAACTTTTGGAATAAAAATTTTCCATTTTAATTAGTCATATTCTGCAGCATGGGAGGAGAATGGCATAAACAAATGAGGATGTTTCCTTTGAATCGTTGCTACACATAATCATAGAACAACGTACAGATGCCTGAAAAAAATATTCACATAATGTGATGGATGTAAATTTTGAAATCTGCATTACTCCAGTAACCACAAGATAAAATGAAGATACTTCTAAGTTTCTCACTCGTACCTCCAACCCACCGTTCAAAACTACTAGTCACATTATAGCAGCCTCCCTAAATAATTTTCATTTGATACGCAATTGCGACCCATACCGATCGGTAGCAACATCTTTGGGGAAACCATTTCAGAACATATGTTTGCATGGTTTCATTTTGGTCGAACCAAATATGCTGCCCATATTTCATCGGCTGGTGGTGGTGGTTGAACCCAATGTCCTGGTATTCGGCTGCACAAAATTTCGTAGGGACATTAAATTAACAAACTCTCCCACCTCTCCGGGCTATAAATACACTAAGAAACTGTAGAGATATGAGGTTTATAAAACTAGCACACTCGAGTAGCTATTACAGCGAGGTGTAAATCACTAGTTCGAATGGTGGGGTGTTTGTTATAAATCTGTGATGTATTCATGCAAGTTCAAAATCAATAGCGAGGTGTTAATTACTTCCATCAGATCACTAATTTTCGAATGGTAACTTATCAAAACTCGAGTAAGAATCGTATCTTACCTTCCTCCAGGCCTTATAAATGCATCCCATGATCTTCTTACCTGCACACAAAGAGGTAAGGGTGTTATTGGTTCCTTTGGAGACTGACGCAAGGGAATGTTCTTCAGTATCACAAGAACTCTTGACTAGAACTACACAGTTATCAGATTTTCTGTATGTCGATGATGGTGATGAATGCACCAAGGGCGGATTCTGAATCAGAGTTTTGTACTTTTGAGTTAGCTTCAAGCCTATGTTGTAGAAGGTTAAATTTACTCATATCATATCACAAATTTGTTAATAAAGCTATTGTAACAGTCCAAGCCCGTCGCTAATAAATATTGTCCGCTTTAGCTCGTTACGTATCATCGTCAGTCTCACAGTTTTAAAACGCATCTAATAGGGAGAGGTTTCCACACCCTTATAAGGAATGCTTTGTTCCCCTCTCCAACCGATGTGGCATCTCACAATCCACTCCCTTGGAGGTCAGCGTCCATCGCATTTGTACATACTAAAGAAATCTATGTTTCCCAAAAACTGATCAAACTATACCTTTCTTCTGAAAAATGCTCGGGAAGAAACAATGAGAAACACCGACTCCCAAACTCACCCTTAGACATAACATCAAAATATGCACCAACTGCATGCATTTCATGAGCTATGCCACAAGATTCTGCAATAAGTGAAAAGCGCAGGAATATTACTACAATTACCTCAATTAACGTGCCCATATCGGTGTTACTTCCATAATAATAATGATAGAATTCCATGGGTAAGTTGGCAGCATAGTCATAAGCTCTTCCAAAACCTTGTACTTCTCCAAACTGTTTCCCAGGCTCTTTATTAGTGCTAGTGTTGGAGACCTTATCATCTACACTAGCAGTTGTTTGATCATTTCTTTCTTCAGGCCTCTCTGTAGCACTATCTGGATCCCTTGATTCAGGGTTATAACTCGAAATAGTCTTCCTAGACACTTCTGCAGTAGCAATAGCATCCTTTGCAGCATCCGTATCCGCTGCAGCTAGGGCTTGGCGTTCCTCTTCCTCAACTGCAGCTCGAACCTTCTCGAGAAACTTATCATCCTCCTCGGGAAGGAAATGACCTGGACAAATATATTGCCAGCCACTACGATCATTAGGCTATAACCAAACTCAAGTGTCAAAATTCTCTTTGCTCAGAGGATTCAAAAGTATATACACGGTTGTATATAGAGATGCAAAATACTACTTTTCAAAGTACTCATATCTACACATAAAGGGCCATTTTATAATACAGAAGGTAATGAGAACTCACATCAGCAATCGTTTTTTTTTTTTTTTGAATAAAAAAAATTGTTTGCATCGACATATTGAAAAGTTGGGGAAAAAAAAAATAGTTCCAAAGAATAAATTAAAGCTTAAATCTCGAAGTACACTACATATCATCTAAGAAAACCAAACATACCCTTCTCATCCACGTAACTTCCCATTTACAACATCATTCCTATCCTAAAGAGAGTCCCACTTCTTTCCCCACTTCAATAACCACCTCAGCTGGAATAAAACCACAATTATTCCTCTAATTTCTACACATGCTTCTATATAGTCAAGTAAATTAATTGTTTCTGTAGCGCGAAGGAGGAAACCTCCATAATTGTTCCTAAATTTCTTCAAGGTTTTGTAGTTATACAATAACTCTGGTAGACGTCTTAAATCAATCCACCCTCCATAACAAGGCTTCTAAAATGACCAACCAATCATTGTGGAAGTAATCCCAATTATGTTTTTCCACTCAGCGGTAGATAACTTCTTTACATTTTCCTTTCACTTAACAGCCTCCTCCAAAAAATTTTGTCCTCCCCTCTTGACGCCTTCCAACCCTTTCACCTTACTCTTCAAGTGTTTTCTGCTAACACTATCAAAAAACATCTTTTCTTGACAACGCAAGACTAACTCAAGAGTTGAGACACCGCGACCTTCCCTTGAGGCTGAAAGTTTGATTCCTAACCTCATCTTTAATTGAATCATGCTACCTTCCCTTCAGGAATAAATAGACTAGAGTTACCTTAAAATGAATCAATCTAACAAATCTCTAGCACACTCTTCTATTGATTGTTTTCTTCATCAAAATAGTATAAGATCACACCTTGTTTGCTTGAAAAATCTGTTAGTTATAGGATTTCTCAAGAGACTTTGTAGGATCTTCTTAGTCTAAAATGTTGATAAACCAATTGGATAAGGAATCAAAGCTAAAAATCACCTCATTCCTCAATCTTCACTCTCCCTCCATATTTTTTTCATCAAAGAAAATTCTAAATGATTTAGTTTCAACTTTGACAATCCTAGAAGGAATTACCACCTAAATCATTTTTCTTGCCTTCAGCTTCCATACTCTCTCTCATCACTTATTCAATCTTCAATGAAATCACAAGATAGCGAGTTCAGCCATTCAAGAATCTAAGTACATTTCACTAGCTAGATAGCATACTGCAATTTATACAAAAGAAAATAAGGGTACAGAAAAAGAAATGTGACAAATCTGCTAAAACAGCAAAACAAAACATCTGCACGTCAAGAAGGATATATAACAATGTAGTTATAAAGGAAGAACACGAAAGAGGTTGAACCTTGTTTCTTCAATTTTTGGATCCTGATGGAGCGCAATTCTTGCAACTTTTCCACTATGAGTGCTAGTTCAAGCTACATGGTATACAACATTAGCAAGAAGTTCATAAGTGGAAGGAAAAGAAGGCAGCAAGAACATTTTAATAGAACTGGTAATTATCTCGATTGATTCTCACCTCAGAATCTAGCTTCTTTTTCTCCTCTTTTGCTTTAATTCTTGCAATTTCTTTCATCTTCTCCACCTAAAACCCATTCACCAATTTTATTGTATGAATGAATTTATTGCTCGTCAACAATTAAAACGATTCTGTCAATGCATTATGCCAATGTTTTCTGGTCGCAAGACAATCAAATGCACCATAGTAATCAAGTCAAAGCATGAGGAAAAAAAACTTTGAAAAATGTTAACAGCTGTTGATATATTAATATCGGAGGCAAATAAACTAAATGTTCATGGGATGAGAAGAATATAGAATTAATATGAACATGAGGGCTGCCAGCAATTAAAAGCAGAGCTAGTTTAAATATTTAAAACAAATACGGAACAAAAAGACATAGGGGTTATGATAAAATAGGCCCATAAATGAGTTGGATCAACATATTTATAGACACTCCATTCTGTATTGTACTTTGATATCCTTGTGGCCACTCATTCTGAATTTGAAATAGAAAAAAGCATAATGCTTCTTCATCTAGTAACAAAACTATCTACCAATGGCTATTGTTATAAATGAACATAAATGAATGAATAAATAATACCCTGAATGTTTCTATATGTCTAGAATAAAATTCAGATTACAAAGGAACTCGCTTATCCAACCTAAAAAAGAAGCCAAAACAAAAAATCTCAGTTTCCAGTGAGAGAATAGAAACAAACATCAGTTGATATTCCAGCACCTTACGTTTTGCAATGTCCTTGGCTATCTCCCTGGCCCTCCATTCATCAGCCTCCCGATCAACTTGGTCAAAACTTTCACGTTCCTAAGATTTCACAATAAAAGGCTCAAAAGAAGTAAGATTACCGTAAATATGTAAGATAATTTTGGATAAAAACTGCCTAAATACTACCTTTGCAAGTGATTCAGCAATGCGCTTCCTCTTTCTCTTTCTCCACTGCTTGTTTCTCTTGGCCTTCGATAATTTAGTAGATAACTTAACTGCTTCCCGGAGACTCGATTCATCAGTATCGATCCTAAATGGATGAAGCTGCTCTCTTAACCTTTTCATCAAAGCAGCCGCAACTTCGACTGAACGCGATTCTTGCAACTCCAAACTAATCCTTTTATCTTCCAAGTAATCAGAAAATTCACCAATAGAAGAATCATAAGGCAGATTATCCGCACTCTGCTCGGATGATTTGCTCTCTTTGATTATCGTCAACATTTCAAGCTCTTTCTGCCTATCAATATTTATACTTCAATCAGAATTTAGGACGAGCGTATTTGAGAACTACAATACAATAGCAGGAAAAAAAGAAAAGAAAAAAGGACATCAATTGGGACGAAGTATTCCAAAAACTACGAACAAACACATACATTGACTTGGCGAGATCAAGACTATCTTGCAAATCCCTTAAACGATCGCGCACATTCAGATTGTCCCAGAAAGATGAACAAGACGGCGGCTGATTCGGTGGCGGCATCAGGAACCTGGGAGGTTGAGCCGCAAACTGATGCGGAACTGGATTCATCGCTGCTGGAAGCAAGAGGGAATGAAAAACAAATTAAGAAAAACCTGTCAACCAGATTAGGACAAGTTATGTGAAGAAGGAAGTAAACCGATGCTCTTTCGAATTTTCTCTGCACCTTGCGAAGCTTCGGCCTTCAGCTCGTAACTAAATATGTGAAAGCCCCGAGAAAGGACGAGGGAAAAAAAGAAAAAACAAAGGATAATGGACAGAAATTAAAACGGATTACCTAAAGAATATGTATGAATTGGGCTTATAAATTAACAACACGGTCCATATACTTGGGCTTTATTCTTTAGTGGGCTTGAGCTTTGTTTTTGTTTTGAGATTCCATGTGAAGTTACAGTTTTACCCTTATTGTTAACAATTAACCCAAAGTCAAACATCTCCTTTCAAGAGAATTGAATGGTTCATTCTAAAGATTTTATTTGATTTGATTTAGAGGCATTTCGATAGACTCAGGTTTATTATTTCCAAATTGAGTTGGATGATTATATTCCAAAGGTTAATTAGGATCAGTTTCAAATAAAAATTTAATCATTGTTACGTCACAGATTCTTTTCACAATAATTTTAAGCTTGATTATCTAGTGAAGTGACTAGCAAAATAAAGATCGATTTATTGTAAGATAAATGTGTAAAGACAATAATTTAAACTTAATGGTCGTTAGGCCACTTTCGGTTCAACTCAAACAAAAGACGAATTCAGGAATCCATCCACTTGAAAGCATCATTCCATCGTTGCTAAGAACCTAGTGCGTTTAAGTCTCAATCAAATTGTTCCAAATATTCTTTAAAAAGAATTTAAAAAAAAAACAATTTAAACATTAATTATTAATAAAATTCACATTAACATAAGATTTCCCTCCTAATCATGGGGGATAAATCCACACAAAATTCCAAGGATAAAGATAGGTTGTGGGAACCCCTATAAATAAACCTAATTATAGGGAATGACAAATTGGCATGCCTAAAAAGGTTGAGAAATCATCAAAATTATTTTGAATCTCACGCAATAATAAATAATATAAATCAAATCTCTTGTAGAAAAGGAAACCACATGGATAATAGGAATAAATAATCAACATAATAGAAGTCTCAATCCCGAGTGCATAGAAGAAAGATACTAATTTTTCATTGTAAATATAAAATTACAATCATATGATGCCAATTTTAGATTCAATTGCTCCCTACCCTTCTTTTCTTCCGAAATATAAAAATATGCAAGCACGATTGTGAGACTCAAGCTCATGATCGGTAAATAATGTTTGCACACACATATTTCATGCTATAGATTTATTGATCCTATCACGAACACAAACCAATTCAACCCGAAATATAAATCAAATATTCTAAGAAAGTTGTCAGCTTAAGAATGACTTCACTAGAAAAGGCATTATACTCTCCACCAAAAGGTAAGAAGTTCAAATTCTTAAGTTAAGTTGAAGTAAGAAAAAAAAAAAAAAAGTGTCAATAGAAAGTTTGGTTTTTCAAATATACCAAGTTTCTAGATAAGTCTTCTAATTCTTGACCTGTAGTTTTTTATTCCGTTCCATGGTGACCAGATTTTCTAACTGTAGAATGAAAATCTTCCATACAATCATTACATAATTGTTTCTCTAAAGACCATTGGACTTCATCGCCACGATGAGACCAGGGTTGTTAAGGTAACCAATCAATTAGCCACAAAATACCAATTCAGAAAATGAACCGTCCAAAGAACCAAACCTATCAATTATCATATCAAGCAGGAATTGTCGGATAGACACCGTTGACTACCATCTTCCCTAAATCCTTATTACTTTTATGCACATAAAAGAGAATAAAATGGACAGAGATCGGAGGAAGATACAATACACGTAGAATTTGCGCCATGACAGTTGAGGATATTGCTGGTAATTTTTGTTGAAGAAGAATTCACGAGACCGAACCTGCCTTCAGTTTTGGCGTTTTCTGCTTTACAAAGAAAGCGGATAGCACACTTTTGCTGCGAGCAGGAACGTGTACTCTTTCTTGTCGATTTGGGGCATCAAATGACCTGAATGCTGTCAAATGCTTGGAACCCTCGAACGCTTCCTGTAAAAGATAGGCTGTGAGATTTGACATTTTTCTACAAACATCAAGACAGATAGAAAGGAACTAGAGGAAAGCAATTAATGCAGTCAGGAATAAGAAAGGATAAGAATTCCTGAAATCACGGCCTATTAGAAGACCAGCATTCGTCATCTCAAGCAACCAATGGTATCCACAAGAATACATGTCCCTACGCATGCTAAACAAAATATGCAAATGTGATAACCACATAAGACAGGAACTGTTCTTATTTTATCAAGCAATGGTATAAAAAGTGATTTCACGTTAAGTTATCCAAACAAAATGAACCTAAAACAACTATTCCATTACAGAGATGAATAAATGGATCATCACAAAACGATGGAAAGCCTGAACAAAAAAAATCCAACGACACCCTGTAGAAAGGCTTATCGCTCCTAATTATCATGCATGAGTGCAGAAGAAAATTGGGAGTGCCTGTACTCTAATCAATTTTAACCTACCCTGTGTGTACCACCTAGCGTTTGCAAAATTGCACTTGAAGCAGGAAATCCATTTGATGGCTGAATGTGACCAGCTGAATATTTTGGTCGGATGGTAGCATCGTTATCTACAAGGTCATGCTTGACATTAAGGATTATCATTTCAAGACAACAACAAAAAAAAAGGCATCAAATCACATAAATGCACCAGTTTTCAACATGGTAGTGCACCAGTTCTATTATTATATACCTATAAGATGGAAAATTCCAGAAGTTTTTTCTGCAATTTTTTGGTCTTCATTACTGCATAATCATTAAAAATAACGTCATAAGAAAGTGCCAGATACAATAATATCAAGAATTAAGGGGAATACACAGAATTGAAATCATGCTAGAAATTCTCTTTGCTTACCAGTTTAAAGAATGTGTACCACCTTTCCTCGTTGACTTTGTCTCTGAGGCTAAATGCCATGAAAGTGTCTTCGATGCAGGAATGCCTAGAACGGAAATGAAAAATTGCTCACACCAAGACATTAGCAGAATGTTAAACTGACAACAGAAACTAAAGTTCCTATAAATTAAAAAAATAAAGATAATATAAACTAAAAGAACAAAGTAGCAGCAATTTATAAATCAGGGTAACGAACTCATGTGAACAATAGATTAACTAAATATGTCAACCATAAACCAGATACCTGAGGGCTGAAGACGACCTCTTGCTTGAAAGGGTTGCTGCCTAGCATCGGTTTGTATATGTGGACTAAAATGTACCTTCTTACTGACAGAATCTAGTTGGAGTAAACAAAATGTGATGGAAAAGGTCAGGGGGGGGGGAGAGAGAGGGTGAAGTTAAAATTCACTGGGCACCATAATAGCTAGATGAGATAACAGAAGGATGGCTGATATTCTTACTTGGTAATATATAATGCTTATGATGTCTTGGGATCAATGCCAGCAGCTGCTGCTGCCTGAGGCCTTCTTTGCTTGTATACGTTTGACATGTAAGCAGTTGCTAAAATAATAACAGACTTCATTTTTCATTTGATATCATTAGCTTAACTTCCCAATAAGACCTTAGCAAGATATGCACCTGATTTAGACAAGAGACTTTAAGCTCCATGGTTGATACATCTGATGTTTGCTGCTCAAGAAGCTCTGTCAACTTGTAAGCCACTGTACCAAGGTGATCGACAGCATTAACAAGGGCCCGAACAGCATAGTCCTTTAGGTTGTCCACCACCCTGTGGCAATTTTTTGACATTGGTTACGTGCCTATTTCTTTTGTGGTCTATTATACTTCCTAAGTTCTCATTACATGATATGTCAATTCCTCTTAACTAGCAATCTAACTAGTGGTTGAAAAGGGAAGCTCCCTGCCCCAAATTCCTCAAGCATGGAAGATCAGACCTACTTAACGTTAACTCGTTCATACCAAATACCAATACAAAAGAAGAAGAAAAAAATCCTATCACAGATTAACTTATCTATCTGTTTCACCCGTCTTAACTAGCATTGAATGGAAGTATGAAGCCTGGGCGAGGCACATTCAGCCAGCAAACTCCATAACAGACTTAGTAAATGATTAAAAACTTTAATTGGCAAGCAGAAGTATGTCCACAATTGTATCATGAAATTACTGTCAAGAAGTGAACCAGAAAAGCTTACATTTGCTTCTGCTCACTGTGAAGGTAGGTTTTCTCACAATATTCAGCAGCAGAGTACAGCTGAGGCCTCAAATTCTTCAATTCCTGAATGTAAGTATAAAGGTCCAAACAGTGTGATTCGCATATTTCTATAAAAGATGAAACTAAGAAAATCAAGTAATAGAATGGAAAGCTATGAAGACAACAAATTTCAGCAAGGAAAAACAAAGATCTACAGTAGAAGTTAATCTTCTATTTCGAAAACCAGACCATCCTGACAGTGAACTAACTTTCTACAAAATTATCAGCTGTTCCAGCCAATCTCGGTAGAGACATGGCTCTTCTCTCAGATTTTCTAGAATATAGTACGAGGACCACAGACTCATCCGAAACTATCACGTGAAGCAAAATTCCCCTTACGCACAGTGTTGCCAAACATCTAAAAAAATTCCGCCGTATCATGCCTAAACACGACAAATCTAGACTGCACTTCACTGTTTAAACACTTCGAAATAAAATTATTCCGTCAAAGTAGGAACATCGAGACAAATTAATCGAAAACTCGATTGCTCAGATTAAAATTCAAATGAATTTCTTAAATCATTCAAAAATCCTCACAGCCTTGTGATTCCGGAAAAATCAATCACATCAACAATTAGAGCATCCAAATTCAGGAAAAGTCAACCAACCACAACCAGTAAAGCCAGACAAAGCAAATCAAGAAAAAACAGAAAATCGAAATTCCTAAAATAAAAAAGAACAAGTAACCAAAAGGAAACCACAAAAGTCCGCAAGCGAAACACGCAAACGAAACGAGTTCAAAAAGAGAGAGAATCAGATCCGAAACACAAATCAAGGAAGAAGAGCAAGAAGTTCGAGGACGAAACCTGCAAGGCCTTAACAAAGCTCTTGCTCCGCTCCATGGAAGCCTCGTCGAAAGTCATGGCAGGATTGTCCGGTCTGAGTTGATCCAACTCCATTTCTTGATGGAAATCAAGGAATTAGAGAGAAGAAAGCAAGGAATGGGCAGAGAAATCGAGAAATGTTCCCTGAAACTGATGGTGTAGCTGCAAAACAGAGACAGGAAATTTGGCTTTAATGGCTTCGCCGTTCGGTGGGAGAGAGAGCGCGAAGTGAGTGAGAGAGAAGCAAAGCCGGGAAGGGAAGTGGGATTTTTTTGGAGTTAATTGCAAGCTAAAACGACACGGAGACGGTGGGAGAGAGAGGAGAAACAGAGGCGCGTAATTATTTAATGTGGAGGTGGGAATTTATTTATATATTCAGGTAGTTGGTAGCCCATCTCAATAGAACAAAACGGTGACGTTTTAACCTTTTTTTTTTTTTTTTTTTTTTTTAA